GGCATACCTTCTTACCGATTGTGCTGTCGGCTCTTATGAGAGACAACAGATAGTATACTTAACGGAAATCTAACTCCCCCAACGGTTTTTACTGCGAAGTGTTGTGTGACAGAGAAATCCGTTGAGAGAGAGTATAGAATGCAGAGTGGCGGGAAGCCTCCATATTTGTTTCGTTTCACACACTTCTTGCAAAGAAAACATAGAACACTCTGTGATAATTGCTATTCTTGAAGGTTTTGTTTTATAAATAATGCAGCCATAAGTAGGTTGTTGGTAACTAAGATGTCCCATGCAAATAAGACGCGAACGAATCATGTAAGAAATAGATGGAATTTTGTCGATAATTTATGATTACTGGCACCGAACTCATCGATGAAAGAGCTGACGCGGTTCGGGTCTGACGAAAGCTATTATCTGTCACTGACTGTATCCATCATCTCTCACGGCCCTGTTTGTCTTGCGGCTAGCTCGCAGAAATACTGGCTTAGGAATGAACTAGTGCTAACGAACGTTCTGTCGAGGTTCTGCTTAGAGGAAGAACAAGTGAATGATGGGGCTCTATGCAATCTTGGTATAAATATTCTCCTGTCCTACTACGAACCACGAGAAAACATTCTTGTACCACATTAATTTCTCAAGACGGTGGCTAAAAAAGTAATTCCACTCTTCATTAATGACGATGTAGGTGACGCATTCCTCCAAAACGTAGGTGAATATCTACCAGATAGCACGGAGTCAATTTAATAATGTACCAGAAGACTTGGACGGTTTCGATTCCGTAATCATTCCCCAAATTTATTCCTTTCATAGAATCACTAGGTTTGAATTTCTCTTCTCCCTGTCCTTTCTGTGGCTGCTACCTTTGTGTTCCAATTATTTCTATGTAGCTAAGGAAATACTGACCTTGACTGTCTCGTTGTTGTGTTGCAACGGATTCTAACAAAGATTTTTGTATAATAAACAAAACAGGATGCACTCGATGAAAATTATTTGTCTCCCCATATCTCCGGAACATTCTTTTTGTTTTCTGCGCAATAATTTGTTTCGATTTCTTTTCCACTTCGCATCCTATTCGAAGTTACGCATGCGCTATTTTTTGCTGACAATAGTCTTGCATTGTTTAGAGGGATAATGCTGGATGCTCAAGTACAGTACAAATCACAAGTTAATGGCACGACCAATATGAACATTTTTTTCTCTAATCTTATCGTCTTCCTGCCTGAAGCTTAGCAGTGTCATTTACAAACCAACTTATATTCTTGATCGAAAATTCAGTCTCAAACTGTTAAACAAATAAAAAAATGTTGTTCTCTGGTTAGAAGAACCTCTCACCTTTTATTCTGCAGAAAACAAGTATTAAGTGATGTTCAGCAACATTTATTACCATGGTAACATCACTGGGGGTACAAGGTGCGACAATTTAATTCCCGGAAAGGCCCTATTAAAGCAACATTTGCTTATCTGTGCACTAGCGGCTGCTGTTGCCTTCGAAATACTCTCCTTGTAAAGCTATGCACTTCGTGAGATGATTTTACCAATGCCGGTAAAAGCCTTGAAAACCGTTTTCCGGAATACCTCGCAGGAACGTTGTCACGTTGCGTTGAATATCAGAAATGTCAGCAAATCTTTGTCCTTTCAGGACATTTCTATAATTTTTTAAAGAGCCAAAAATCGCAGGGGGCTAAGTCAAGCGAATAAGGTGGATAATTAATTTTTGTAATGGATTTCTTAACCGGGAACTCGCGAAATCTTAAAGCATCATGCTCAGGGGCATTGTCAGGGTGGAGAATCCACTTGTCAGGCCAGACTTCGGGTCTTTTCATCCGAACAGATTCCCGTAACCTTGTGAGCACTTCCAGATAACACTGTTGTCCTTATGCAATGAATTCATACTGAACAACCCCATTGTGATCGAAGAAACACACAAATATGGTGTCTAACTGCGAGCGAGACATGCGTGCTTTTTGCACGTGTTTTCCAATGCATGTTCTGGCGTTTTTTTTCCGGGTCATATTGAAAAACTCACGTTTTTCCACTGGCAGTGACCCTATCAAGCATCTCTACATTGCACAAAAGATCAGATGAAATGTGAAGCCGACGTTGTTTCCGGTCATCTGTCAAGATTCGAGGCACCATCTTTGCGGATTTTTTCTTCTCATTCCCAAACCTCCCGTAATAATCGGTCTCACTGTTTCCCTATACATATTCAGCTCTTCTGCTATTAGTCTCACACCTAAATTTCCATCTGAGCGCACCAAGTTTCGTACTCTGTCCACATTTGCACGTGTCCTTTGCGTTTTTGGCTGCCCACTTCTTGGGACATCTTGCACATTTTTCTTGCCCTTCCCTGCCCCGCCTGTGCCATTCAGAAACACGCAATTTATTCATAGTGTATTCACCACAAGCCACTGTTTCTCGTAATATGGTTAACGTTTCACTAGCACTTTTATCAAATTTCATATAAAACTTGATGTTTATCCGTTGCTCCAAATTCTTGTCACGTTTTCCGCCAACAGTGTATCAAGGACAAGTACTCCTTCCTCTGCTGCTTGGGAATGAACGATTAATTTTCCCAACTCAACACCCCAGCTACACGCTGTGGCCATTCCGGGAATTAAATTGTCACACCCTGTGTACCATTACCTTTATGGAGCAAGACAACGAAAATTTAGAAACAAAATCAACTGTTATTGTAGTCATAGCTCAAGCGGTTAGTCGCTGGCTTCCCACCGCGGCGGTCCGGGTTCGATCCCGGGTCTGATCAAGTGGGATTTGTGGTGGACAAAGAGGCGCTGGGACGGGTTTCCTCCGAGTACTTCGGTTTCCCCTGCCAATCTTCATTCCACCAAATTCTCCATCATAATCAACCGGGGCAAGCTACAATAGGCCAATCAGTGCCCGCCGTGCCGAGTGGACCCAGTTGGACTCCACCCCCCACTAAGCGAACTGTCATAGTAAATACATAATTTCTGTCGCGAAGAAGTAACCTGTGAATTTATTTAATTGCTGTCTTATAAAAAAGCCACAATGCATCAAGCGTCATTGGGGAAGACAAACATAAAATTTTAATTCGTATGAGTGGCGCAATTTCCAGTTACCAAATGACTTCTGTATTTATATTTGAATGCACCACAGGTAATTGTAAGCATCCCAAAATATACAATATTCGTACGTTGTCACTCTTAATGAGAAATGTAAAAAAAGACAAAGTAAAGCTATCCCTGTACCAGGGCCTGAAGGCCCATAGGGTTTTGAGACGTTGAGGATCCCACATTATCTAGACAATCGGCTCAAAGATGGCGGTAAGTTTGTCAGCCTTACGCGCCGGCCACGCTTTACTCCCAAGGAAAATTATTTAATTAATTCCTGGTACTCATTTCTGTTAGAGGCTGAGTCGACCCCAGGGCCATAGTGCGGCCGGAAGGATTAGATCAATTGAAAATATCCAATGACCTCATCAGGACTTGAACCTGCGACCGTTGTTCTTTATTGACGAGTCGGTTTGAGGAAATTGTTAAATTAGATCTGAAAGCCAGCACGTGGATTATTATACGTGGACAATACTGATCAACATCAAATCTAGCCTAGACACTTTAGTGTACCCTTACACAGGTATATACGACCTACCAAATGTAATCGAATTATACAATTTTGATTATTTATGGTAACTAGAGTTACTCAATATTCCCAGTTCAATACATTAGCATACAGATTCGAACAGGGACTTTTAGACTGGCCTCGTTTTGTATGAATATGTCTTGGTGTCGAGCCCCATTTGGGGCTCATGACCAGATATTAATTATTACCGTTTGACAGTTACGGTCTTGTTTCAATGGGGCGCCCTCTCTGACGAGAGGACCGGTCTGTCTTTTGTATATGCTGCTGGCCCTTGCCAGCGCAGTCTTTCTCGGGTCCGAGTCCCTTGGGACTCGCGACCATATTTTACTGTCTCAGAATTGAGACTTTCCTTTCCGTCGCCTCCTACGACTCGCAGGGTCACGGTGGAGGTATTCGACCCCGCCTCCACACGGGGTTGCCTAGTCTAGTACGACCGTCCAAAAGTACCTGCTTCTGGTCAGACATCATGAAAACACTTTCGCATTCTGTGGGAAGAAAGGCAGCTTCTATCCTTGACTTGAAGGTGTGGCGATTGAACTGCCCTTTCTGTTATCCTTGTTAATTTCACCAACTTCGGTAACATCCATAATCCACTTATCTTTATATCAACTCTCCATATTTACCTTCAATCGGTAAATAATTGTGTTATTTAAAATTGTTAATTCGGTGCCTCTTCCCGGTTAATCACCCTTTAGTGACAGATGTTTATCCCATACATTACCATATTTACCTCCACGCCTGCCACACACAACACTGTAATGCTGTTTTACGTTTGCATAAAATTTTTGGAGTCATGTCAGATTACGTATCTGACGCCTGTACAATCAATGTAACTTAAAAAGAAATGACGTACTGAAAATATTTACACTCTATTTATGTTATGTGGTGATATATGATACTGAAGGTGAACGTTCCAGTGTTTACATTGATGAGAATAGATTGTCAGTAATCTGAATGAAAATTTTAGGGAATGGAAAAAGTTGCATTGAAAAGGTCTTCATTTATTTTAGTTGTACAAAGAAACATAGCATTTTTATTTATTATTAAAAATATATAAGCTATTGTATATATTTTACATCTTATTTCTCCACAATATATTTTAATCAATCATGTGATTAAATATTTTTTTCATTGATCGGCACAAAGAAACAAGAAATTCCGACGTCATCACAGTCGTCCAACAAACATGATTTCACTTATTGTTAAAGCTTTGTTCTGTTCATTTGTTAAAAATCTACTCTATTCACTGATTCCTATATAATATCGTTTACATTTCAGTTTATACAGTACAACAATGGGAAAAATATCACTCATCCCAAATAAAATGATCTTGATATATGTCAATTGTTTCGATTCACAAAATGTCAGTTGAATTTTATTACTTGTATAAAATATTAATTTGTAACGTTGGAGACAGGTCGTTTAAGAATGTTTTACTTGAGCTTTATGAAATACTGATAGTTCTATGATAAAAAGAACACTGAAGTAAGTCATATATCATGCATATTTATTTTTATTAAAAGCCTGTTTTTCGAATATACGAGAAAGTTGTTAAAATGTATAAGTGTTTTGTGCGTTTCAGTATCAACGAGCGGTGACCAGTCAAGTAAACACTGATTTCTCAGTGAGGCCTATTTCGTGATATTTAATTCAAAATAATTAATATAAACCTTAAATTTGAATCTCAAGACGTGAAAAATGTGAACATCTGACAAGAAAATAATGGCTTATTTTTACAGTATTCCAGTCTAACTATTTGGAACCAGTTCCTTCCTGAGAAGCTGAAATCGTTCAGCTAGTCAACAAATTGTCCGTCTTTATGGAACTCAGAGGTTCATTATCACATTGTCACGAGACTACCACTGGATCATACTCCAAGTCATTTAAATCCAGGAGACATTGTAATATGATTTTCAATACTGTTTTCTATTTATGTATCTGACTGCTTAGTAATACCTTCCCTTCCAACTAACCTGCTTTTGAAAATCTGATAATCACTCAGCCTATCAACATTTCGATGACTTTACCGTTTTGGTACTGTACTGAAAAGTTTGGTCGCTAACGTCAAGAAATTACAAATTCTCTCTCACATTTATTAAGATATATATGAAAGACTTTCAGCTTATATATCGATCGAAAGGAAACATGTAAGTTTCAGAATGGAAGGTTACCATTCAGATTGTATGCTTAGATACCATTCTTCTGTACAGGACTGAAGAAATGTACCCTGATGTTGGAGGCACCTGGTTTCTTTGATACGCTGGTAAAACAAATATCAGGCTATGTGGTGTCACTAGTATTAAGCACACAAGAGGTATATTAACTGCAACTTAAATAAATTAAATTAATATAAAAGCAACTGGAGTCATACCACAAAAAAATCTAAATATTGTTATGTGCGTAACACCACCATGATAATTTAAAGGTACCAGGATAAATACCTTATATTTCACCACTCAACCAATTTTCTCACTAAGAAGGAAAAACAAACTGGGGTTACACGTTTCTTAATAGAACATATTACTTATCCTTGCATTATTTTTTCCTGATATTCCATCAGCAATACTAACGAAAATTTGGAGATGCAGAGTGCAATAATTAAATGCTTTATTATTTATTATATGAAACAGAACTCTGCGCCTCAAAACTTAGTGCTCAGAGAAACATAATTTTGGCATTAAAATTGATTATAAGTATTTTAAATACAGCTGCTGTCTACTGCATGAGGTAGTAATTTATTGAGATTCAAATTTGGGACAATGATTTTTCCTCCATTCATTTTTAAATACATTAACGATGATACATCCCAACAGTCACAATATATGTTTTGTCTTCATCCCTCCTATTCACTGCAAAACATTTCCGTACGATATAATATTGGAAGGAGTGATATCTTGATGCTGTACCACAGTAACTACCACTGGAAAATTATTGCATAACAAGGGGTTCAAACAAGAACAGCTTGCGACTGGTTTAGAATTAAAGTAAAAGTATAAGAAGTGTGCTAATCAGAATAAACGTTTCAGTGACGATGAATTGTTTCTTTCTGAGAAATTTGTGGGTATGCTATTTTACTCTGGTGGAGATTGTACATTACACATTACATATCTTCCATCATTTCTTAACTGATAAAACAAAATTCTTGATAATTACCACTAATGTCAAATTACTATATTATCTACGACACTGTTTTAATTATGCTCGCGCGATTGCTTCCAAAACAATTCTCCCAGTAATCAAGGAAATGTAATTAAGATCATGCATATACATTTAAGATGAATGTCTTAGTGATATGCTGAATTTTCTGCTAGTCGCGACATTCATTGCATGGTTTCAGATTAATGAAATGAAAAGATAATGATATAATGAAATGATAATATTTTACACCACCTAACAAACAAATACTGTACTTAAAAGAAAAATAAAATGCCTCCTTATATATCAATTAATATTTCAGAATGGAATACATTTTCTATGTTTGCTGTTATTTTACTGGATTATCTTCACCAGAACGAAGATTTCCTATACCGATTAGTGCTTATAACACACCCAATAGGCCACTCTTATTTTGAGACAAGAAAGGCATATTTGTGATGTCGATTAATGAAATTTATCACGGCTATCAAAATACTGTATCATCTGGGAATATTACAATGAGCATGCGCATTACTTAATATTTCACATAAATATACAGCTTTTTGGCTGAAGTATATATATGTCTGAGCTTTACTTTATGCACCCATAATGTTACAGCTCAATCAACTGAGAACTTAGTGTCGCTGGGCTGCCAACATGAAGAAACACACAGCTGATATTCAGGACTATCTCATACTACTGGAGAATTGTTTGGAAACTCTTTATATCCCATAAAGCTACAGGGTGATTCTTTAAAATACGAACACATTTTCTTGAGTGCAAACAATATACTCGAACATTAGGGACAACAATGGCGAGTCTCTTGATGAAATTTGGTGCCTTTGCCACTTCTGTACACTCTCAGTTTCACATATAAAATACAATCTAATATACACAGGTTCCTCAGCATCAATGCATGAGAAATCTGGACCAGATTTCTGATTTTCATTCTTCTCAGAGTACTGAAACAGGTGGCACAGTTGCCAATCTGTCCACGACACTGTTTTTAAAAGCACTTTTCAATTAACAATATTTGGGAAAAGAACTATAAAGGCGAGAAGTTCATTATTTTAAAAATATTATCAACGGTTAGGGTCCATTTGAAGGATTTCTTAAAAACAAATATATCAACAATGTTATTGCCACGATAATGGAAAGAAAGCACGTGTAGTTGCTGATATCTCCCTCTGAAAAAAGAAACTAAACACCAGGTTGCTACAAGAAATGTAAACAGATTAACATTATGATAGTTATTTTTGGTGTCCCCATAACAAACTACAAGAAGCTCCGAGACATCTCCAAAAATATTATCAAGGTCAATTATATCTCAAAATCAAAACAGAACATTCAACAATACTAAAAAGAGTCAACATTATTGTTTTATGAGCGAAATATGAAAGTCACAATTCAGATGCATCATTGCCATTCCTTAACTTAACTTTCTGGCATATGATATCGGCCTCTTTCGGCTGACTGCCTTCCACACATTGAATCATCCACCAAATTATATCCCTGTCATTTAACTAATTACGGGTATACAAATCATAAACTCGTGATGAGGCGCAGCCTATCAATCAATTTCTGAACAGTTTTCCATATTTATGTAAAGTGATTAATCCTCGCTGTGATTGTAGCAGTCATCTTTTATATCCCCTCACAATTATAAACAACACAGCAAAGATGCAGTTGTATATCTGTTGTATAATGAATCCATTACATTTTGCAGCCAAGTTTTACTGTTCGTACAGCTTGAATCAATAACACTGGCATACTGACCAAGTGTCAGTATCTGCATTTAGAAATATAGTTAGTGATTTCTACTGCAACGTCACTATAAGAAAACTTCTTCGAGTTGGCTCCAGATTTATATAAACACAGAACATGAAGTTATAAGTTCAGAATCTTGGTTTCTTGAATCAGCAGTGTACGAATAAGGTTCTCCAAATATGCTCTAAAGAACAGAGCTGAAACCATATTTTAGTAGCTGAACTTCAATAGAAGCAATAACAGTAAGTACATTTCCCCACCCCACTTAAATTGTATCTTGGCAACTGGATGAATTCATCACCAGCTGACAGCAGCAACTAATCTGTCATCGTGATGATGTCGTGTAGGAGGTGGAATGGCTACCGGCCCCGAGGTAGCAGCTGGAAGCAGTAGACCTGCCGCTTTACCACGACGTTGCTGTTGCTGCTGAGTCAGCTGATCATCAGCGTGACATCAGTAAGGTACATCGATGTCATCGTCGCGGTTCCCCGCTCTCTTGTGGCACAGGCAAGCGCGGCACAAAATCACAATACATGACACTGCCAGAATTGCACCCGCTGCTGCCCCAAGTCCTATCGCTAGCCAGTTCACAGCATCATCCTCAGATCTCTCACATAATTCTGGTGACTCATCACTACCTCCCATTCCACCTACAGGAACACTGCCACCAGCAACACCTTCTTCAACAGCGCCCAAAGTGACATTTGGACAATTGACAATCCCATTACAAACCAACCTTCTTGGTATGCAAAGTCCAGAATCACCAGGACACTCAAACTCACACACACCCGCAGAATCTGATGGCCCTGATGAACTGCCGCTCTCTGTCAATCTAGACGTCATCATAGTGCCGTCAGAATTTCTTGGCAAGTGGTACATTTCAGTCCATGCTATTCTGAATGCTGTTCGAGCAGGCGCAACTGTTCCTGTGAACTGAATCTTGACTGATGGCGCTTCTGTACCTACAGTGGCAGGCACAGTGGTTGGCGAGACACCTGGCTGTGGAGGTGGTAACGCAGATAGTTCAGCTGTTGATAGGATTGGTAACTGCTTAAGAGAACTCACATTCTCACCACAGACAGACAGGAAAGGCTCATTGGGCTTCGAAGGCAGGAAGAACTCGAGACGACCTTCGTCACAGGCTCTAGAAGAAAATTTTATCTTATCAATATGAAGCCAGAGGTCAAGTTGACGGGTTACCCTAAGTTCCCAGATACATCGGATGCTTTTGGGAGGTTCAACATAACCCAGGGCCTCGAAGAAGGGATAATGCAATTCTCCCTCAGCTGTTGGTGGTATAATGGGCGGTCCACACAGTGGCCCATGCACAAATTCGTATCTGGCTTCAAAGAGTGGTGTTGGATGTTTGAAGTAGCTTGAAGCTGCATGAGCCGCATCCACATGAAGTTGCAGGTTCAGTGACTCTCCTTTTGAAATTACTGTAAATGGCAGAGCGGGGAGTGATGGGATTTCCGTTGCAGGTGATGAAGCACCTTTGCAAAGACAAACTCCAGTGCCAGGGGTTACTGTTGCTGTGCTGTTACTTCCACTTTGAAGAGGTTCCCAGATCAACAACTTATCCACACGATCTTCCCAGCAGTCACTGCAAGAAACTGCGTTGTAAGGATGGTCCTAGAAAAAATAAAAGAAATATTCGCATGTTCCCAAATGTAACTATAGGAAATGAAGTTTTCTCATACACATCATAGCAACACAGAACAAAATTATGACATATCAGAGAAAATCATGTCATTCCATGGAAGAAAGGACAGGACTCTTGAAACATCTTGTCCTTATTCCACGTTGACACTGTTTATCCTTGATCAGTTTTCTTACACCAGTTTTTTTTTTTAAATGTAAATTTCTCTGTTTCATTTCATCTGTCCCATGTTATTAGAATTCTCTGAATAAGCAAAGTCGAAGATAATGGATCGGCACTACAACCCACTAACAGCTTTAGCTTCCTCATGGAGGTATATTTCCTGTCTATCTTAACCAACCGGAGCAGATTTACTGGTAAGAGGACCCCAGTGGCCGCTTAAGACCCCGATTTCCGAGGGGCCCCCACACTGTTCTGTGAACTCACACCATTTGTCCACCATATTGCTCAATGCGGTGGTCCCAAAACTAGTTGGCATGCACCGAAGTTGTTGGCGAAAAAATAAAAGTCTTGCTCTTAAAATATTCTGGGAATGCTAAAAAATGGAACTACGAACAGATCAAAGTTTGTATATATTTTCGTACCTTATATCATCTGTAACAAGCAATACAGTTAGCAGTATTTATGCACTAAAGAAGTCTTAAAATATGATTGTTGTAGTTTTTATTCTTAACGAAACTGCCCCCATTGCACTGTTATGGATTTTGGGATGACTGTTCGAGGCTCAAGCGTGATTTGATGATTTCGGCAGTGTTTCGCAAATAGTGTATCTGCTTTCGTTCAGATGTCTGAAGACTATTTAGTAGTGTGGATATGGGTCAGAGCCCGTGACAGTGAAATGTGCCTGTCATATTACACATGCTACCGCAGTTTTTAGAAAAATGCCTCTTCCTGTTGGTGTATTATGCAGTAGGCGGGCAGAGTCAAACTGTGCGGTTAGCCATCCGACTCTAACCATGCACTGTGTTGCTTAATCTGATGTCGCTGTTGTCAAATTTCGTTCTTCTTTGTATGCTCTTCTCTGTGTCTTCCCAAGATTTTTGTGATGTACGCGTGTTGGAGTACTTACTCATGGAGCTGAGCCCTTCTTGAGGAGCCGCCAATTCTGCAGCCACTCAAGAATTTCCCAGCATTTTATTGAACCCGAAGGTTCGTTACCATGTTCATAAGAGCCCTCCACTGGTCCCTATTCTGATCCAGATCAATCCAATCTGTACCATCCCATCCTACCTCTCTAAGATTCATTTTAATATTGTCCACCCACCTACGCCTTGGTCTTCCCAGTGGTCTCTTTCCTTCTGGCTTTCCCACCAATATACTACATGCATTCCTCTTCTACCTCATTTGTGCTACATGCCCTGTTCACCTCATCCTACTTGACTTGATCATTCTAATTATATTTGGAGAAGAATACAAGTTATGAAGCTCCTTATTATGCAGTTTTCTCCAACCTCCTGTCACTTCATGTCTCTTCGGTCCAAATATTCTCCTCAACACCCTGTTCTCAAACACCCTCAGTCTATGTCCCTCCCTTAATGTCAGAGACCAAACTTCACACCAATACAGAACCACAGGCAAAATTATAGTTTTGTATATTCTAATTTCTATGTTTTTGGACACCAGACAAGAAGACAACTGCGTGTTGGAGTGCCTTAATAAACTGGTCCTAGGCTTCCAATAGGGATAGGCATCGATTTCACAAACTGGTATAAATATCAATGGTACATGGTGATTTATCACATAGATCCTGATGATGGAGCCACAGAAGATCATCGAAACGTTGGTTTTTAGTTCAACATTGACACATTTGATCGCCTCAGAGGGTTTTAGCATGAGGAGGCAACTTCTGAATGCGTAACATTAAGAATTTATGAAGAAAAGCAAGCAAAAATTTTACTGTAAGTCTATAGAAATCACTGAAACTGCCTAGTGAGAAACTTGAAAAAATGAACTGTGAAAAGCAAAATTAAATTATGCTTAATATAAAGGAACAGTAATCGTAAGTCGTATTATGAAATGAATGTACAGCACGAAAGAACTGTATTTCTCTCTCCACTTTACAGACATGATGTATACATAGTAGATGCACATCATTTGTTATTGCGGCCATTGTAGCCTGCTGACTGAAGTAAAGTTTATTGGTACAAATGCTTCCCACAGTTCTATTATTGAAAGTAATGCCTATTACACACATATTGGACACTGTACTCACTTACTGAGTAACAGGCATGGCAACATAATGACAACATGGATTTATTTTACTCAAGAGACCCATGAAGTGCCTTGGAAACAACCCTTTTCTACTTTACAATGATACACAGCGTAGTAAAGAGAGTTTCACAGCAACGAAAGAAAGATGGCTGCTGAGGTTTACAGCAACAAATGATGAATGTGGGATGGCTATGAAGGGAGTAAGTGAGAGAGGAAATCCAGAAAAAGCATCAAGAGATTGAGAATAACACAATGATTATACAGAAGAAAAAAACAGACACACACAGACTGATATAGAGATATACAAGATAGAAGATAATACGTGTAGCTCAATAATATACTTTCAGCTTGTGATGAAGCTAAAGTTATTAAGTTTCTTGCGATATTTATAGATCATTGAAGGTCAGAGTGCAAGGGGCCGGGTTTTATGGCCCATCCCTTACATACATACATATGTTCTTGCAATATTCATATACAGACATGACTACCTAATTTACATGCCCCACTGAAGCCATTCTCCTTCATGCAATTATTCTAATAATATTACTGAAGAATTCAGGACATGAAGGTCCTCATTATGCTATATTTCCTATTCTCCTATCATTTCTTCTCTCTTAGGTCCTTGTATTCTCAGTACTCTGTTTGCAGACACCTTTGTCTAAGTTCTTCCCTTGAGGTGAGAGGCAAATTTACATACCCATATTATACCAGAAATAAAATTACATTTTTGTATTATATTTTTAAGTTTAAGTTAGCTGAAGGTACCATACATTGAACTGATATAGTTATTTTACATACAAATGAAGTAAGGTTGAGATCTTGAAGCATACTGCAGGAGATAAAGGCTGGATAAAGCTCAAAATTGGAGTATTCAGTTTCTTCCTGTATTCTTTGCAACTTGCCACTCTAATTGGTTCTAGCAGTTCAGAACATCTTTGGCAACAATGCTGCTAACAACATTCTGTTTTAAAAACTATATTTCTATACTGATTTTTTACAAAATTCAAAATGACCTTCCAATTTTATAAATACTTATATGAAATTTCATGAAAATCTTTCCAGCAGCTCTCTAATTTAGACTGACAGAGAAACGAATCGACAGACATATATGACCTCCCTGTTATGTGTTCAGTTTATTCACATCGTTCAAAGAATGCATAATAATCGCCACAGTGCACGATATCTCTTTATCCTTTCAGCCTTCATATGTGTCCATACATATGTATTGATCAGGGCTCTATGGTGCTTTTAATATTGTGGCATCTGATAGGAATTTCTAATTTCCGTCCAAACACTGACATTTGGCGCATGTGGAAATACAGGAAACACACCTCTGTACTGGAAGATTCTGTTAGGTATCTAATGCAACTTTTAGAATGAGCATTCCTTAAATATGACGGCAGCTAACATGGTACATATATTTCAAGCGTACATGATATGATACTGTTTAAAATAACCTGTCATTATGTTTTATAGCATTCACTAAATTAAGACATAACAAACAAATTATGATACAAGATTTTGTGTGAGCTGCTGTTGGTTATTTCCATGATCAATTAATCTGCAACCATTTATGAAACACAAATGTGCATGACATACAGAAGATATCTTAGGCAGGTCACCGTGTTAACAAAAGTGTGCCTGCCACAGGCCTGTATCTGTCCCAGATAAACACATTCCCCACACTCACACACTTAACTTGTTACATCTATATTAATATTAGTGTTCTACCCATGTCACCTAACACTGTGGTCAGTGAGCAGCACTTCTGCTTTGTACTTGGGGGTGGGGTGGCACTTTCAAATATCAGCCCTGGGAACGGCTATCCTAGTTGCGAATTTTTGTGATTTCCTCAGTCGCAATGTCAATATAGTGTCTCAGATTATGTTATGACTGCATTCTCCCACATACTTTCCAAGTCATTATTAAATAAGAAATCTACTGTTCAACGTTATACAGTCTGACTACTGACAACACTGTCAATAGGCAGCACATAAATAAATAAATAAATAAATACACACACATAAATAAACAAATAAATAAATGCTTAGGTGTCCAAAGTGGTCTCTTCATTTCGGATGAAGCTATATATATAATCTGAGCTACCGAAATCATTTTTAATAAGCCAAAAATAAACAAAGAAATTGAATTTTCTCACAGTTAATAACAAGAATTATCCAGATACTGTTATAAAAATCATAATTTTTTATCTTAAATGTTAAGAGTTTTATTTACAATGACTTGTAAGACATTTAGATTGCTGGCAATTAATGGTCATGATATGATCAAAACATCAACTTCAAATAATTTTCATTTAACACAAATCAAAAGACCGAAATGTGTCTCTAAATTGCCGACTGTAAATTCGTACCCCACCCCACCCCGTAGGCCGATTGTTTCCCCTCTACTGTTGCCCAGACCATGTCTACTACTGGTTTATTATCAATCAGCAACGACCACTTCCGTGGCCGTTGTGCTCTTAACGATATATGACAGGATGCAAAAAATAATAAAAGAAAAATATGATCACTTTCTTCCAGATCCTTTCCAATTCAACAATCATCCAAACACCCGACACCACACAGTCATCATAATCACAGCACTGTCAAGTAACCGACTGAGAGGAGAAGTCTAACACAGCGTTACGTCCTAATTATTCCTTCTTTCTGCATCGAACTAAACCTAAAATAGGCAGTGGTACCATTCAACTTGATGAGGCCTACCTTGAAATTGATGGCGTCAATAGTAAGAATGACACGTGCGAAGAGCCTCTTGTCTGTTAAAAAGCGGTAAAGGCACCGAACGTCCTCTGTGGGGTCGCTGCGCTTATATACCAGAGTGTTGAGGGGGGATCGAAACCAACCACTTTGGGAACGCCAGCTGGAAAACACCTCATCACACGCAGTGTCCGGGACACGCTCTCCGTATCTCGAGTTGTTAAAGAAATCATAATGTGCCCAATAGTACAGCGACGACCTGGAAAGAAAAGTACAAAAAGGAATTATTTTTGTGTTTCTTGAGTGCAGGCTTAAGGATGTGAGATAGGAATTGGGGGGGGGGACAAGTTTAACTCTAAGAGGAAGTGGGTCTCGCCATCAGGACGCGCTTAATTAGCTTCTGGAGATGGATGGTAATTGCAAATATGTTGAATATGCAGTTGTGGAGGGCTGAAAAGGCCTGGTACTCCACTTCGTGGGCTGGCATTGCCGTGCAATGCAGTTTCCTCAATGTGCGCTGCGCCATTCGGTAACATGTGTTCAACTAAAGCTGATAACAGTTCTCGGAAATTGCGGTCGCGTTGCGGTTGCCAGTTTCCTTAGTGTGCCCTAGCCCTAAGCGTTGCCATGTTACAAAACATCGTACATTGCATGTTTAAATAATTAATACTAAACCAAATACTGGATGATTTAGTACGCCACTCTGTATATAATGTCACGTGTATGGGTGACTGAGTATAGACGGGGTTTTGGATTGGATGATTAGATTTATTGACACCTTATACATCCCACTCGGGACTACAGACAATACAGCGCTATCGCTGTTCTACACACTCTACAGTTCACCGTTACACACACACTACTGTTCTCAGTCTTCACTAGTCGTATCCTGGCAACGGATTTATAACAATCTCAATGTCACTTCAAACCACATACTAAGTCTTCTTTTCACGGCCTAATTAATTTCTTGCCATTTCTTCTTAATCATATACGACTGTCATCTCCAGAACTCGACCCAGTTCCTGACAACTAATACTACGCTGCTCCTACGAGGCCAAGTCAGTCACATTGCGACTGACGGTCAGTCAGTCAGTAAGTCTTGGTGTCGAGCCCCAGAATTATTACCGTTCGACAGTTACGGTCTTAATTTTGTGGGGCGCCCTCTCTGGCGAGAGGACGGGTCTGTCTTTTGCCTATACTGTTGGCCCTTGCTAGCGCGGTCTTTCTCGGGTCTGAGTCCCTTGGGACTCGCGACCATATTTTACTGTCTCAGATTTGAGACTTCTCGTTTCGTCGCCTCTTACGACTCGCAGGGTCACGGTGGAGGTATTCGACCCCGCCTCCACACGGGGGTGTCACTCACTCTGCTCCTATGAGCTTCAGAACTCTTCTTCATAACCACTTTGCGCGTACAACGCAGAAAACACAGCCTATATTTTAATGAAGCGTGTTTACTGAATCGTTGCCCAGTAACAGATGCCCTCTTGTTTTGAGTGTTTGCTTCCCGGAGAATGTTTTTACAAAGACGTTGCTTAGCAATGAGTATACACGTCACAATAATATTGTGTAAAGAAAACCCGAGAAGATGAGTTAACTTTCAGGAGCAGGTTGATTAGTTTGGTTGGTAATGGGTACTTCCAATTACATTTTACAAACAATATCTTGAAATGAGGCAGCATCATAATAGAAAGTAAGAGTCAAGAGGCATGCTTGTTGTGATAAAGCTTCACTGTATAGATTTCTTTGTAACAGCGTCATCAGTATAGTAATTCTGTTTGTAATTTCTTGATTGTAAAATTGTATTTGGTACAACAATACGTTTCATTCATGGCGGTTCATGTAGGTTTGAAAATCATAAAGAGAATGTACAGCTAAACTCCATAATTTTATTCCGCAAGCGAACTATATCGACCGAGCGACCGCCGCTTGTCGGCGAAGTTTAGTGACAACTTTTGCGCACAGAGGGTGTCGCATGGTCTGCGCAACGAATCCCCACGGCCGTTAATTTCGGTTTTCTAGACAGGATCCACTATTTCCTTGAAATATCTCCTTAGTTATCTTCACGAGGCTGAGTGGACCCCATTCCAGACCCACTACTTCTCCGAAAAAAAAAGTGTAGTAGCGCCGGGAATCGAACCCGGCCCTCTGGATCTGCAGCCAGGAACGCTGACCACTAGACCACAGAGGCGTCCATGTACAGCTAAACTACTGATAAAAATGTTTCGTTACTGACTTTTGCACAGTTCATGTATCAGTAAATTATCAGTAACTTATGTCTTTCATTTATCAGTTGTTCACCTTCGCTTTGTTTTAACTCCGCATATATCATTTCAATTTCATGTTACCTTACATTTTATGATACTGAAACTTTCAATTCCCTTTTTTATTGTTTCTTCACTCTGGGTTAATTCATTTATCTTATCTTGAATTAATATATTTTGCATTTGTTCTGCTGTTTTTAAAGATAACAAGCTTAAGTATTATAAGACCTCACGCAAATTCCTCATTTTCATTCCTTCCCATTGTAAATGATCCTGAATCAGGTACATAACCGACCAGGGTCACAACCTATGTCCCATAAAATCCATCTTAGTTTATCCCCCGACCATATACACGTACAGTGGTTAAATAAAAACTCGATTAATAACATAAAATTATTGTGTAACTAATTCACTCCAAGGAGGGCAGTTATTCTTCAGAAACTAATGGTCGCTCATCTGATGAAGTTCCACTCTCTTTAAGGAACTCGAAAGTTACTATGACAACAAGAATATATCTGTGGTCGTGAGTCTCAAGGGGCTTGGTGCCAAGACGAACTGTGACATTGGCTTTTGTCTTGAATTGTAAATGAGGCTGGACAGTTCAGGTACGCAGTTGTGAGACAGTCGCCAGCCGGGAAGGCCGTAAGCAGAGGACATTGTCTGGATCCGTTATTAAGCAACGGCTAAAGAAAACAAACTGAGAAGATTTAGTGTGTGCTGTAGTAGAAAGTCTAGTGCGTGAGTTAGCAATGGCGTTAAAGTTGCCTGTAGTTAAGAATTTTAAGCGTTCAATAAATCCAGTTATCAGTCCAAACCCTGTTATAAACACTAACACGTGACAATACTGTAACCATTACTCAGCCCCCATATGTGTGCTTAGGACTTCGTTTTATCTCCCTTGACTTCATCACTCTAACGTTATTTGGTGAAGGGTAAAATACAGGTAAGCCGGTCACGGTAGCCGAGCGGTCTAAGGCATGCACTGTCTTCGCTCGCTTGGAAGCCGGGATCGTGGCTTCGGATCTGTTTCCTGTGAGGTACGAACTGAATTCTTATATATTATTCTTATACACTGCCGGTCACGGTAGCCGCGCGGTCTAAGGCATGCACTGTCTTCGCTCGCTTGGAAGCCGGGATCGTGGCTTCGGATCTGTTTCCTGTGAGGTACGAACTGAATTCTTATATATTATTCTTATACACTGCCGGTCACGGTAGCCGCGCGGTCTAAGGCATGCACTGTCTTCGCTCGCTCGGAAGCCGGGATCGTGGGTTCGAATCCCACTCAGGGCATGGATGTTGGCGTGCGTTTATCTGTGTTTGTGTACAGGTAGAGGCCTTGCGACGAGCTGATCACCAGCCCAAGGATCTAAGATCTAGAAAAAAACCGAAGTGAAACGGAGAGTTTCATGGAGGCAGGTCAAGGCCCAAATGAGGGCTGTAGTGCCAACGGAAAACAAAAATACAGGTAATGAAGCACTTGGTGTTAATACTTACCCAGAGTAACTTCCTGTTTTACTCTCAAATCGTACGAAGAGCGCATTTCCTGTTGACACGAAGTCATGCTTCTCCATGGCGCGAGAGAAAGTGTCGCAGAAAGTCTTGATGATGCGGGAATCATCAGGCCACGAAGCATCATACAAGGTTAGAGATTCACCACAATCACCATCGAAGAGCTGGATTGGTGATTCTATCCTATTGATACGGAAACTGTAAGAGAACACAGATGTCAGTTGCGTTCTCACGGTGTGCTGTGAATTGCCTCTACCCTGACGAATCAGTTAATAGTTTTGCAGGATCTGAGATTCTCACAACACTGGCTATAGAGAGTTATCCCTCCTCGGACAAAACGCCATGTAAGCCACTGAAAATTAAGTGACTTTTCTGCTTCCTACTAGCTTCACGCTGGTCTTTTTTTTCCGGCTTATTCTTCGACCCTGAAAATTGAGGTGACATATACTCCTGAAACGTCAGATGAATTTCAATAGACTACACTGCGTTATATCCCAGACGACAAAATTCTTATCTTAACGGCTATTCTACCGTTAAAATCTTGATTTCAAGGAATTCAGAAAGTCAGTGATTACTAGATCCTTAATTTCAATTAGGCGGAGAAGTTCATGGAGGTAGGCCTAGGCCCACTGGGGCTGTAGTGCCAAGGGAAAAAATTTCAATTAGGAGAATAATAATTGCGGAAATGTTTGTTAATATTCACTTAAAAATTACTATTCCTCTGTATTGAGATGTTTTTTTATATTTATGATTTACTTATTTAACGACGCTGCATGTATCTCAAATTACATAACGTAGAATTGTAGAATGAAAGGTAAACAGAGGAATGGAAAGAGCATGACTGGAAACGAATGTGCTCAGATTGGAAGTAATATCCAGGTATATGCATGAAGAGACTGAGGATAACTGCGAACCCTGATAAGGATACACAGTATTCCGGCCGACGTTCCAACCTCCAAATACAGAATTCAGAAAAGGTACCTCTTGGGCCAAATTGCTCATTCCAAAACATTAAAGATCATGATGTAAGATACAATAATTATTCTAGTATGCCTGTGGGTGTACAACATGGTCCCCTCTATGAACGGAGAATATAGGTGTCAAATATTTGTAAAAAATGTGCTCAGAAAGGCATTTGTTACTGTAAAGGATGACACAGGCATGTACCGTCTTCGCTCGCTTGGAAACCGGGATCGTGGGTTCGAATCCCACTCAGGGAATGGATGTCTGGTTTGTGTGTGTGCGCTTTTCTGTGTTTGGTTACAGGTAGAGGCCTTGCGACGAGCTGATCACCCGCCCAAGGAGTCCTACCGTATGTGTAAGATCTAGAAAAACCGAAGTGAACGGAGAAGTTCATGGAGGTAGGCCTACGCCCACTGGGGCTGTAGTGCCAAGGAAGGGAAAAACGGATGACACAAACAAGCAGTTAGACATATGACAAGACATGGAACTTAATGTTTTATACAGGTCACCTGGTAATGGTGAGGTTCACCTAGGAGGCTAACATTGTCAAGAATATCTATGATGAGGTGGAAAAGGAATGCATGAAGACTTCTGATGGGGAAACCCATCTGAAAAATTAATTCGGAAATTCCTTTAAATGGGCCGTTTTGATAACATTTCCCAGTCTAGTGTCCCTAACCGCCTGGATCAGGTCTGTTAGGTTTAAATCTAGACATACGCGAAAATCCATTCATCCTAAGCGCTTCGAACATGAAGACGGACGCAAAATGTACCAATGAAACTTCCGCAACATTGGTTACATTCAGACGATGCTAAGAAACAACGTCAATGCTGAACAGTACTTTCTTCTGGGTTGTGACGCCGTGTAGTCCGTTGAAAGTCAATAGAAGTTTCAGAGGACCATATCGCCTGTATGTTAACGGTCGAATTGAGATGGAGGTCATATGATCCTCCGAAACGTCGGTTGACTTTCAACGGACTACACGGCGTCACAACCCAGAAGATTGTACTCTTCATAACAACCAATGTGGTAAAAAAAGGTAAAGCTATCCCTGTAATAGCCATGAAGACCCATAGGGTTGTGAGAAGTCGAGGCTCCCAAATTTTGTAGACAATCGNATCGGCTCACAGATGGCGGTAAGGTCAGCCTTACGCCCCGGCCTCCCGTTACCCTCCAGGAAGACTCCTGGTACTCATTTCACTTAGAGGCTGAGTCGACATCAGGGCCATAATGCGGCTGGAAGAGTTAGGTCAATTGGAAAAAATCCAATGACCTCATTGGGAATCGAACCCGCGACCTTCCGGCTTGTAGCATAGTGAACCACAGCTGTGAGAATCTCAAATCCAACGTGAATGCTGTTCCATACGTAAAACAGAAGCAGGAAAATTACACCTAGCTTCTTCGGCAACTTCTCTGACATAAGTGTATTGCATATAGTCTACATTTCACTTTACAGGCTTAAATCTGAAATTCTATCGGCGAGATCTTTTAACGAATAAAAACTTCGAAGATTCTGTACGTGTGTTTCAGCATTTTGATGGTGTAAGACAATTTTGAAGTTTTACTCTATAAACATGCGAGCGCTATATATATATATATATATATATATATATATTAGACCCCCAAAATTAAATATAAACATAAAATATATATTTGCCTAAATAATGAGATTTCGTATGATATATTATTCTGAAGGACTTTGTAATGACGAGCTTTATCATTTATACCCTTTTCACATTCGTATACTACTAGGGTGGGGGGACGCAGTAGCGTAGTTGGTTGAGGTACTATGATACAAGCTGGAATATCGTGGGTTCGAATCCTACTGAGGTGGATTTTTTCAATTGACCTAATCCTTCCGGCCACACTATGGCCCTGGGGTCAACTCTGCCTCTAACAGAAATGAATACCAGAAATCTTCCTGGGGGTAAAAGACGGCCGGCGTGTAAGGCTGACCTCACCGCCATCTGTGAGGCGATTGTCTAGAGAAAATGTGGGAGTCTCGACTTCTCACAACCCTGTGGGCCTTCACGGGCTGTTACAGGGATAGCTTTACCTTTATTATGATACACTGCATTCACTGTTGGCCAAAGGCGAAGCCAGTGACCAGTCAATGACAGCTCAGGCTCGTCAACTTTAAACACTCCTCTTCAACCACTTCTTTATACTCTAGGATTGATAACGACGTCATAATGGGTTAATGCGACGTTGTGTGGAGCCTTGGTATGAAAACAGCATCAACGTAATAACGAAACAATGTTAACTCTGACAATGTTAAGCGTGGACTTACTGAAACTCCTTGTTTTCTTCAGACTGCATATCCTTACCTTGGGAAATACAGCCTGACAACCTCATCCTTCTGTCCCTGCATGAGGTAAGTGCAGGACGTGTGGGGCGGATACCAATGCGCCACTGAAAGGAAGATGCCCTCCGAGTCGCCAGAAGTCGCCAGGTCCTCGCTGGTCAGCACCCAGTCACATGTACCGTTTCTGCTTCCAGCGGTCTCGACGTGTCCGGGCCAGTTCCCCACGTTGAAATGGAACCCAGTGTTGAGTAGGGGCCCCGCCAGCGAACTCACGAATTCTACGAACAAATCTTCACTCGTCCCGATGATTGAGTACGGGAACTTCCCCATTCCACAAAACGTACCTGTCATTTGATGAGTAGAAAGAAACTTCATTATCCTACTACAACAGCATACGCTGGTAGAGAGAGCAACGTACAAGCAGGAGACAAAATGTGACAACAACGACAAGCTTATGTATAGCAAACAACCGGCCGCCAGAATATAAACATCCAAGGAAAGGGATCGAAATATATTGTCTGGACAAATGGAAGACGCCCTAGTGAGGTGTAAAAAATAAAACTTTAATGAATTTTAATAGTAATAGCAATCTAACTAATGTTAGCTAGATTGTGATTACTACATTTAAAATCATGAAATATTGCAGTTACATGTGAAGTGAATGAGTGGCATTCAAACAGTTTTGGCACAGGCACGCATGCACGCACATACACACATTGTCATGAACCATACCTATGACTGGACTTCCCTCGTTGATGCCATCATATATCTTGATATAATCATAGGGGCAGTGTTTCTCCCCGGACGAGATGGGGCGCATAGGGCACGTCATGATGTTCTCGCATCTCTGTCCATCTATGTTGAACTCCTCGTTCTCTATGTAGAGTTTGATGAAGGGTAATCTCGTGTTGAGATGGTAACGGCAGTGGAGACCTCTGGGGTAAACACCGGGGTAAGCAGGTGATTGCACGTAACAGGTCTGGAGGCGGCAATCCCTGAACACTCGCTCACAGTACGACCTGGAACATGTTAGTAGGGGAGTAACAAACTGGAACTATTGTCCAAAACATCAGTCTTGGTCGGTCAAGTTCATCACTCGCTTTTCCACTCTCTTCTCATCACTGAGACTACCTGAAACGAGGTACTGAGGGGGGGACTGAGTCCGCAAGCGAACTATACCGACCGAGCAACCGCCGCTTGTCGGCGAAGTTAGTGCCAAATTTAGTGGATAGAGGGTGTTGCGTGGTCAGCGCAATGAATCCCTACGGTCTTTAATTTCAGTTTATAGACCGGAGCTGCTATTTTTCCATTCAAGTAGATCCACAATTATCCTCACGAGGCTGCGTCGACCCCGTTCCAGACCCATTACTTCTCAGAAAATCTTGTGGCACCGGGAATCGAACCCGGGACCTCTGGATCTGTAGCCAGGAACTCTGACCACTAGACCACAGAGGCGGTCACTGAAGGCCAGCACTACAGCTCAGTAGTGTGAGGTAATGGAATCACCTTCAATATGCAAGAGAAATTCCTTCTTGAGGAAGGAAGAGCTGCTTAGTAGGCGAAGAAATAACACTTTATATTCAGCCTAAAGGCAAATTACTGTTCACAAGTAATGTAAGAGTTATTTACAATTCTGCCCAAACTGTAAGTTACTGAAGGCCCACTTACCCTGAGACTACTTCTCCGCGGCGGTTTGGGTATAATTCTGGGTGCTGTCCGTATCTCAAGTACACCTCAAACTGCTGCTCTGCACGCGAATCGAAACTGAAGTACGTTTGGTCCGTGAAATTGTCCGTGTGAAACAGCACCTTGACGAAACTCGTCTCCGAAATGAATGTCTGTGGCTGCTCCGTCTCGCCGCAAAACAGGCCCGGGTCTTTCCGGTTACTCACATCCGTTTTCGCGTTGCCGTCCACGATCTGCAAAATAAAAATACCACGAAAGTAAGTACACTGTAAAATATGATCACGAATGTACGTTGAAAAGAAAAAGACGGCAAACATGAGTAAACTCTTGACTACAACAGAGAATTCTTGGAGACTGAAAAGGTGCACGAACGAGAGTAGATTGTGAAATAAAGACGGTAAACTTGAGCAGATTCTAATATAAAACGGGTAACACTTGCTAACTTAAATGAAACAAGAACAGAAACATCTTAAAATACTGAAACAGGACCATGAAAACTTTGAAACAAGCTCGCCAACGTGAGGAAACTTCGATGCAAGATCGCGAAAGAGGGGAAATTTTGAAACAAGTTCGCGAAAGTGAGGAAACATTGAAACAAGTTCGCGAACGTGAGGAAAATTTCAAACAAGATCGCGAACGTGATGAAAGTTTGAAAAAGTTCACGAACGTGAGGAAATTTTGAAATAAGATCGAGAAAGTGAGGAAATTTTGAAACAAGATCGCGAATGTGAAAAAGCATTGAAACAAGATCGCGAACGTGAGGAAACTTTCAAACAAGATCGAGAACATGCGGAAAATTTGAAACAAGTTCGTGAACGTGAGGAAAGTTTGAAACAAGTTCGCGAACGTGAGGAAAGTTTGAAACAAGTTCGCGAACGTGAGGAAACTTTCAAACAAGATCGCGAACGTGACGAAAGTCTGAAACAAGTTGGCGAACGTGAGGAAATTTTGAAACAAGATCGAGAAGGACAGGAAACTTTGAAACAAGATCGTGAATGTCAGGAAACATTGAAACAAGATCGCGAATGTGAGGAAACTTTCAAACAAGATCGCGAATGTGAGGAAACATTGAAACAAAATCGCGAATATGCGGAAACTTTGAAACAAGTTCGTGAACGTGAGGAAAGTTTGAAACAAGACCGAGAAATTGAGAAAACTCTGAAACTAGAGTGAGGACGTGACAGAACTAAAAAGGACTGCCATTATGGCTTAGTTTCTAAACCAAGACCGTAAAACTTAAGCAGATTCTGAAACAAAACCAGGAGCATACTTAGACTGAAATATTGTCGTAAAAGCGAACAGACTGAAATAAAACGCGAACGTCGATAAACTCTGACAATAGGAGTACGAACGCGATTAGATTCTGAGAAAAGATCATAATAGCCCCGAAATCACATACGAACATTGGGTTAGAGTGCTGAACTACAGCACTTGTACTGTAAACTGCACAGTCTGCATGTAGTGCGCAACATTTGAACAAGTTACGTGAACACTGACTGCAAAATTAATGCATATATAAAGTTGGAAAGCTCCGTCTCAAGAGAAAAGCCCAAAGCTTACATGGGAGAATTATTAATATTTTCATGAAATTCCATGTGAAAATGTGGACTGTTTTCATTTGACAAAGGTGAAATTTTGCCGCGCCATACCTCAAGCGGTTAGTCGCTGGGTTCCCACCGCGGCGGCCCGGGTTCGATCTCGGGGTCTGGTCAAGTGGGATTTGTGGTAGACAAAGTGGCGCTGGGGCGGGTTTTCTCCGAGTACTTCGGTTTCCCCTGCCACCCTTCATTCCACCAAATTCTCCATCATTATAATCACCCGGGGCAGGCTACAATAGGCCAATCAGTGGCCGCCGTGCCGAGCGGACCCAGCTGGACTCCAACCCCTACTAGCGAATTAAAAGAAAGAAGGTGAAATTTTCTGAACAAGGTAATAAACTTTCATATTCCATTAAAAATCCCATCACAGGGGACCGCGCGATCTAAGACATGAACCATCTTCGCCCGCTCGAACACTGTGATCATGGGTTCGAAACCCCACTCGAGGCATGAATGTCTGTGTGCTTTCCTTGTTTGTGTTGTTCTGTGTGTAGGTAACGAACTTGAGACCGGCTGATCCCCAGTACGAGTTCTACCGACTGCATATAGCATTAAGAAACTGAAAAAAAAAACGGCCAAGGTCCAAAGGGCTACAGGGCCATTGAGAAATAAGAATCCATTAAAACTTACGTGGATGAACATTAGCTTCTAAATGAGGATTATGTTTCATTAATTAATTAGTTATCTTGTTAATTATTCTGTGACTGTGACACAGGATAGAATAGATTCGTTATAGTGAACTCTTAGCACACGCGGTTGATTACGTCTCTTCCGTGCCTGTACAGCGGCTGATAGACTAATCCAAGCAAACTGCTCTAAGTTCCTTCTGCCCTCCTCACCTCCTTCACAACCCCAAGATCGCAACAAACTTACACCGTACGAGTTTCATTCGGAAGGCGAGACACATTTTAACTAATTTGATTAGCATGGTTCCTACACACGCTGAAAGGAACTCCCAGAAAGTTACGCGTGCATACACTCTTGAAATTAAAAGAAAGTCTAACTTAAAAGTTTGTACCCAGCAAACAGATATCGAGTAAGCTGTAATATATAGCTTTAGCGGATTATAACCTGTGAGAAATCAGAATGTAATTAATTCCACAGCATGTGCCTCACTGTTGTGTGTTATATCCACAGATGAACCTCAGTGACCCCACACGTAAGCCACTTTGATTACATTGACGCAGTGTTCAGTGTAATAGTGGCACACGTGAACAAAATGTCATTAAGTATTGAGGCTTGGTATGTTCACTAAATTTTAGACGGCTAAGGAATGATGGCATTACAAACGGAGGATTGTCATTAATTTGTATTTGTAAAAACCAAAGAGGGTTTCATCTGTGCAGTAAAATTATAACTTCAGGAGTTCTGAATCTGATAAGGGTATGTTTTTACCCCATGTAATCATGACTTTCTGAAAAGTGGTGTGCGAATAAACCTCTAACCAGCAATTAACTTCCAAGCCCTAAGGGACGTCACTAGTTTCATGTTCTCTTGGACTTTCCTGGCGAGTTAGTCTAGCGGTCGCCGACCACAGTAGCCGTTCGGTCTAAGGCATGAAATATCTTCGCTCTTTCAAACACTGGGATCGTGGGTTCGAATCCCATTCAAGGCATGGATGTTTGTCTGCGTTTATACTGTGTTTGTGTTGTCCTGCACAGGTAGTGGCCTTGCGACGGGCTGATCCCGTGCCTCAGTGGCCCTACCGACTGTCTAGGATTAAGAAATTGAAGTGAGACAGGCGTTACACGGATGCTGTATGCTCCAAGTGGAAGCAACAGAAATAGATAGATAGTATAGCGGTCATGGTTCCAATTATCCTGTTAATTAGGTACTTTTCTTTTCAGGAACTGGGGATACCTCAGCAGCATAGCGTCCAGGTTACAAGGACTTGGTGTTCTATCTTTTAGAAGGAATAGCGATCTATCTTCTCCACAGGGTCCACACTGGCTCTGGGATGTGATAAATCTCGCATGCAATAATTTTCGCGGCTCCTTCCACGGGGTAAAATGTCGGACTGTGAAGCTGACCACTCTAGTGCCTGTTGTAAGATTGCTTAGAGGTAGAATTTTATTCCCTTATAACTTCAACTTTATTGTTCTTCTGACCCTTAAGTAAGGCTTATCCATCTATCTAGACCTTGGTCGCCTTTTCAGTTTCTTGATCATTTTTACACAGTCGATAGGACTCCTTGGACAGGGGATCAGCCCGTTGCAATACCTACACACAAGAGAGCACAAACACAGAATAAAAGCACACAGACATCCATGTCTCAAGTGGGATTCGAACCCACGATTCCAGTGTTTGAGCGGGCGAAGACCGCGCGACAGCTGTGACTGCCTTAAGTAATGCCAGTGATTGTCTGCTCCTTCACGTTCGTGAAGGTATTTCAACAAGTGAGAAACGTAAGGTAAAGCGAAGATAAGCCAAACGTGACGATGGTCAAGAGCTTCAAACATGTTGTCAACTTTCAACGTGCAATATATCTATATACATATATATTTTTCCCCTTGGCACTACAGCCCCAGTGGGTCTAGGCCTACCTCCATGAACTTCTCCGTTCACTTCGGCTTTTCTAGATCTTACACATTCGGTAGGATTCCTTGGGCGGGTGATAAGCTCGTCGGAAGGCCTCTACCTGTACACAAACACAGAAAAACGCACACACACAAACTGAACATCCATGCCCTGAGTGGGATTGGACCCCACGATCCCGGCTTCCGAGCAAGCGAAGACAGTACATGCCTTAGACCGCTCGGCTACCGTGACNATAGGCCGCGTGCGTGTATAGGCCGCAGCACAATTTTCAGACAGAAATTATAGAAAAAATAATTTTCTTGGAATATTATTTCAGGAGTAGAACACCTGTATTACTAATTATGAATATAATTTTTTTAAATGAAGTGTGATTTCGAATATTTCGAATATAAGCCGCACCCCAGTTTTCCTCTTGAATTTTTGGCAAAAAATGTGCGGCCTATACATGCGTAAATACGGTATATATATGTTGATGGAACCGAAACAATGAACTTAGCAGTCATTCGAAAGATTTCTGCAGCGGTAAGTAAACTGTAATAATTTCTCACGGAAGTATTTTGTATCTTACTGTTGTGTAAAGGATATGCCCATAAACTACGTGGGCATTTAGGATAAAATATCTCCTGCTGCAGTAGCATTAACAGAAGGCGGTGCTAATGACGTTCCCCAGCTTCTGCAACCGTAACGTAAATGCACTTACGTTAGGACATTTTGAACAATGCGGAAACAAAATCCGAGCTTCTGTTAATGAGGCGATGTTATCAACAGGCAGAGGGACGGAGCGTTAGGGAGTAAAAGGAAACTGGTTAACATTTTATGGGCACAACGATTTCCCCTTTCTGTACTCCCCTCCTCCATAAACCTACATGTAATTAGGTTGATTGCATGTAATTGGTAATTGGGTATCATTTAAAAGAGCGAACCAAACCAACTCGCTCCCTTCTGTCGAAGGGGGAGTGACCAGGGATATTGGGGTGGTGTGGCAATTAGATTAACGCAACTGGATGATGACATTTCGCAGTCGAAGGAGATTACGTTGATGTATAACATGTACAGCTGAATGCAGCCAGAAATTCATATCGTTGGCATCAAGGATG